AAAAAAAAAAAAAAAAGCTCAGCACCCATAGCTCAGTGGCTAGGGCACTGGCCACATACACCAGGGCTGGTAGGTTCAAACCCAGCCAGGGCCTACTAAAACAATAATGACAACTGCAACAAAAAAATAGCCAGGCATTATGGCTGGCACCTGTAGTCCCAGCTACTTGGGAGGCTGAGGCAAGAGAATCACTTAAGCCCAAGGGTTTGAGGTTGCTGTGAGCTGTGACATCACAGCACTCTACCAAGGATGACATAGTGAGACTCTGTCTCAAAAAATAAAAAAAAATTTTGAGTTACACCTAGGATCCTCTCATGGCATACAAGTTGAAAATCACAGGGATAGAGAGACTCAGAGGTGGGGTAATTTGGCCACCTGGAATCATCTGAGTTCTTGTTTACTCGTGTGTCAGGTGCATGGGCTTGGGGCAACCTGAAGAGCAGCACTGCGGACCAGAGGGCCAACATGCGGCCTGGCTTCCTCACCTAAGGCAGTCTCTGAGTGTTTGGTTGTCTTAACATTTTGGCTCAGGGTTCTAAGCACATGTGTTCCAGGAAACAAGGCAGACACTTCATTACCTCTTATGACCTAGCTTCTGAAGTCACACAGTATCATTTCTTCCATACTTGGTTTGTTGAAATGGTCATAAACCCTCCCAGATTTAAACTGAAAGGGCATAGACCTTTATGTCCTTAATGGACATATCTTAAACTCTTCACATTCTCACCTCAAGCCACACATTTATTCACATTCCCCACATAGGGAAAAATAATTCCCTCTTTCCAAAGATGCCCTCAAGGTTCTAAATCTAGTCTAGTCCTGTAGCTCAATGGGTAGGGTGCCAGCCACGTGCACTGGGGCTGGCAGTTTGAACCCTACCCGGGCCCGCTAAACAAAAAAATAGCTGGGCCTTATGGCTGGCACCTGTAGTCCCAGCTACTTGGGAGGCTGAAGCAGGAGAATTGCTCAAGCCCAAGAGTGAGGTTGCTGTGAACTTGTGACACCACTGCACTCTATAGAGGGCGACATAGAGACTCTGTCTCAGACAGTCAGTCAATCTGGTCCGGGTGCAGTTGATATTCCTCAGGTATAGCTTCTCAGTTACAACTCTTTTCTTTTTTTAGAGACAGAGTCTCACTTTATCGCCCTAGGTAGAGTGCTATTGTGTCACAGCTCACAGCAATCTCCAGCTCTTGAACTTAGGCGATTATCTTGCCTCAGCCTCCCAAGTAGCTGGGACTATAGGCACCTGCCACAACACCTGGCTATTTTTTGTTGCAGTTTGGCTGGGGTTGGGTTTGAACCGCCCCACCTTTGGAAGGTGGGGCCGGCGCCAAACCCACTGAGCCACAGGCGCCACCCTCAGTTACACCTCTTGGAAAGCCTTGAGAATCTTCTGCTGAGAGAGACTAGGGATGAAAGTAGCTGTATTTTTGAGCTGAGTAAGTCTTGGCTATTTTATATCCTCTGTAAATTTGCTCAAAATCCAATCAGTTTTTCTTTTTTAATCATATCTCTCTATCCTGCCTTATTGTGAAACAAAATAAACCACTGGTGGTGTCAGCATTCTGCCTGGAGGTCTGCTAGGCCAAATCTGGCAGGACAGTAACTATCTTTTCCTTTGACTTTATCTCCCCAGGCAACCATTGTTGCTAAACAGTCTCCCACTTCATCCTTGCAGACTTCATCAACAATCTTCTCCAGACTCTTCCAGCTGGATTGGCTACCAGGTCTCAAAGCTGGTCCATCTGTTTTAGATTTTGTTACAGTAACACCCCACTCCCTGTTACCAAATTTTGTATTAGTTATTATTGCTTTGCCAAGGCATCATCACAAAGATGTGTAAAGCAGCAACCTAGGATGACTCCAAGACCAGGCTCAGAGTGCTAACATGTAGCCTCTATGTGTGGTTTGAATCACACAGGTATGGTGCCTCAGGGATCCAAGCACCAGTATCCCAGCAAACAAGGAGGGAAGGGGAGCTGTACCTCCTTTTGTGACCACTGTGTTGTAGTGGTCAAAGAGGTCACAAGCCTGCCCAGATTCAAGGGAGAGGAAAAGGAAGCATGTCACAGAAGTTCTCATCTGACAAAATGTTAATAAAGAAGGCAAAGAAATTTAGTAAATTTAGTTATTATTCCTTAAATTATAACTTTTCAGTTACAAGTTTTATTTGGGAGGGGGTTAAGTGTTATTTTGGGGGGGGGGGTTGAGACAGTCTTACTCTGGCATCAGAGCTCACAGCAACCTCAAACTCTTAAGCTATCCTCTTGCTCCTGAGTAGCTGGGAGTACAGGTGTCCGCCACCATGCCTGGATAGTTTTTCTATTTGTAGTAGAGTTGGGATCTTGCTCTTGCGCAGACTGGTCTTGAAGTCCTGAGCTCAAACAGCTTGGCCTTGCAGTTACAGGCGTGAGCCACCATGCCCAACCTCAAGTGTTAAAGAATTTTATATGTTGTTGTTTTTTCTGTTTTTTTTTTTTATTTGTTTGTTTTTAGAGACAGAGTCTCACTTTGTCGCCCTCAGTTGAATGTCATGGCATCATAGCTCACAGCAACCTCCAGCTCTTACAAGTGTTAGAATTTTAGAAAATTCTTTTTAAAACCACTTTTAAAAGGAAATGCTATTGGTTTTTTGTAGGGATTATGAATATGTCTACAAGATGACTTTTTAAAAAGAACTAATATAGAAAAAAGGACTTCATATAGTTTGGGATAAAATTTTCATTGATAGCATTGCCCATAAATTTGAAAAATTCAGTCTATCTCAAATAGCTTAGTGAAAGTAAAGCTGATATTCTAGTAAATGGTGTTATGTGATGCAAGAAATGTCTGTACTGATGATGGACACTGATATTGAAATAAATGTGAAGAGATTGAAGGAAATTGTTTCATGAAAAGCAATATTTCTAAATGTGAGTTTAAAAATGTATGTATCTGAATGTCTGTATCCCTGAAGATATATTCAAATTGAAAAATTTTTTTAGGTCTTTTCAGTTGGGATAACAATAGATTATATGTATTTGAGGTTACTGCTTATGAAAGTGTATAGTATTATATTAAAGTCTATACTAAAGTATACGGCCACTTCAGCAAAATGTAATAGTAACCTAGTATCAGTATATAAACACTCCATATATTTTTTTTCCAGCAGATATTGTTTTCAAAAAGTACCAGCACTGCTATTCTTGTTTTTCCTATCAGGAAGCCACTGTTTCTCATATTTTAAAAGTTTCTGTAATCTTTCATAGCATTTGGTTTAAATGTATGGAAATGGTTTTGTGACCTCGCCCAAATGATTTAACTTGCCTACACCATACTCATTTGTAAATGGAGGTTAAAACAGACTTCCTCTTACAGCTTTGTACTTTTTAAAATTTTATTTTATTTTACTTTTTAGAGAAACAGTCTCATTCTGTCTCCCAGGCTGGAATGCAGTAGTATGATTAGAACTCACTGTAGTCTCAAACTCCTAGGCATGAAGCCATCCTCCTGCCTCATCCTTCTGAGTAGCTGGGACTATAGGGGCACTCCACCACACCAGCTAATTTTTAATTTTTTTAGTAAGACAGAGTCTTGCTGTGTTGTCCAGCCTGGTCACGAACTCCTAGCCTCAAGTGATCCTCCTACCTCAGTCTCCCAAAGTACTGGGATTAACATGGTGCCTTTAAGAACAGGAAATGGTAAACACATAAAAAGAATTAACATAAAAATTTAAAAAATGGTAGTGGCGCCTGTGGCTCAGTGGGTAGGGTGCCGGCCCCATATACAGAGGGTGGTGGGTTCAAACCCAGCCCTGGCCAAACTGCCACAAAAAAATAACGATAAAGTGAGACTCTATCCCTACAAAAAAAAAAAAAAATTAAAAAATGGTTACCTTAAAAAAGTACTGTAAGAAAAAACAAATCATATTTGATTTGGTATAAAGTATCTAATATAATGTATTCCTTTTTAGTACATACATAATATGAAACATTCAGCAAACTTAATACTGTTAAAAGCATTTCAGAAATTTTAGTAGTAATTGTGCCTTACTGAAAATTATTGTAATGTGGAAATTTGTATTATATGTTGATAAAAATTTCATTTGCTATAGTATGCAAAATATTTCTTTTTTTTTTTTTTTTTTGAGACAAGAATCTCATTTTGTGGCCCTCAGTAGAGTGCTGTGGTGTTATAGCTCACAACAAACGAGTAGCTGCGACTACAGTTGCTAACCACAACATCCTGCCTTTTTTTTTGGCGGGGGTGGGGTTTGAACCCACCACCTCTGGCATATGGGGCTGGTGCCCTACTCCTTTGAGCCACAGGGGCCGCCCCACATCCTGCTATTTTTATTTTATTTTATTTTATTTTATTTTTTGACACAGAACCTCAAGCTGTTACCCTGGGTAGAGTGCTGTGGCATCACAGCTCACAGCAACCTCCAACTCCTGGGCTCAAGCGATTCTCCTGCCTCCACCTCCCAAGCAATGGGGACTACAGGCCCCTGCCATTGTTGTTTGGTGGGCCCAGGCTGGATTCGAACCTGTCAGCTCAGGTGTATGTGGATGGTGCCTTAGCCGCTTGAGCCATAGGCCCCGAGCCCATCCTGCTATTTTTAGAGATGAGGTCTCGCTCTGGCTCAGGCTGGTCTGGAACCTGAGAGCTGAAGCCTTCCACCCACCTCCACCTCCCAAATGCTAGGATTACAGGCGTGAGCCACCGCAGCTGGCCTGCAAAATGTTTCTATTGATTAAAATGTAATCTGCAATAAAATGTTGTCTTTTTACAATAGAAATAATTGTTTTAATCTCCATGCCCATAGTACAGTGGTTACGGCGCCAACCACATACACCAAGGATTGTGGATTCAAAACCAGTCTAGGCCAGCTAAACAACAATGACAACTACAACAACAAAAATAGCCAGGCATTGTGGCAGGCGCCTATAGTCCCAGCTACTTGAGAGGCTGAGGCAAGAGAATCGCTTAAGCCCAAGAGTTTGA